AGACTATGTTTTGGTCAAATCCCTTGATCGGCAGTTTATTTCTCAAAACCGTACGTAGATTTATTCTTTTGAACAAAGCCTCCATGTAATGAAAGTCTCGGTCATCCTTTGTGACGTCACAAATGGACCTCACATTCTTCACAACACATATATTGTTCCAGGTCATGTTCGGAAGTACAATGTTCTAATGTTTGGGTGTTTTGTTTCATTTCGGTAGCCTTTCAGATTGATTGGAGCGGCACAATCCGATTTTATTCGGTTTTGTTTCTTACATCATACGTCGTTTATCATATGTTATTATATTGCTGTGTTTGCATTGTTTTTAGTTCACTGTTGTTCTGTATAACACCGAGTGCTAGCATGCTTGATAAAAACTTAAACGATATATGCGGGGTGATGGTATTTTCTCTTAATCCCTGCTCCGGTATTACTGCAGTACAGTATGCTCGGGAGATTCCATACTGAATGCAGTCTTGATTAAGAATGTTGACAGTTTCAATTGTCCCTTCCTAAAAGAAATGCCACTAAACATTACTCTAACTGTCTAATTTAGATAAGACAAACTAAAAGTATAAATCGTCTATTATAAATTTACCTTTTTATATTTTCCAATGAAACTGCTGAAAACGTTCAATCTAATTCTGATTAATACTGTACGGAATATTCCTATACTTAATGCATTATTGATTCAGAAAGTCCCTTCCTAAAAGAACTAATATATGAATAAGTGACGATTGAACTTGGTATCTGACATTTACCATAAAAATTCCTCATTTTAATTCCTTATTCCATTTTATCATTGCTCATTCGTGTATGCCATCTGGAGGATCCATTATCGGAGGTATTCAAGAGTGAATAAACAGTGTTAACTCACACTAAGATTATACTGGAGTATTAGATTACATGAAGCTGGAAAAACTGCAGAAGAAAACGACCGACATATACAATTCTAGACAAAGACTTTAAATCTTAAGGTTAAACAGAGAATAGTGACTCGACAAGGAACGTGTTTGTGAGTTTTTGACAGGTGTTTTGAAGATGCGACGCAAGCAATTATGTTACAAGATATTACAGCTCGCATACAGGGAATACGTATGGGTAAAATAGCCGGAGACTGGGCGCTGTCTCTCCATGAATCACCACTGACCGGAAAACACCTGACGCAGGGCTATGCGGCTATGATACAGATCGACAGATGCTTTACCGCATGCAGTTCGGATAACCAGCGCATCTTTGATGTATAACCGTGTTAGAACCTGTTGTGAATTCCTGTCGAGTGTCGTAACGAGACATCTAACCGTACTGACGCCTACCTAAATAAACTTTTTATTAAACCGGTATTTCTGGAACAACGTGTCGCAGGGTGTAAATAAATAGAGTTTTGAAGGTCATTCTACCAAACATCCCCTGTCCATATATACAACTGTTCTCTGCTGATGCACAGAGAATCAGATATTGCTGAGTAAATGTATTTTGTATAAACAGCCAACTGTGTGGAATACGACAAAGATAGGGTAGATCTTGATCCTTAATAAGTTTAGTTTTACGCCGCTTTTAGCAATATTCCAGCAATATCACGGCGGGGAACACCAGAAATGGGCTTCACACATTGTACCCATGTGGGGAATCGAACCCGGGTGTTCAGCGTGATGAGCGAACACTTTAACCACTAGGCTACCCCACCGCCCCAGAACCTGTATGTCATCGCATAGACAAGACAGTGGCTTGGGACCAGGGCTCCGTTGCATAAAGCGATCTAAACCTACGACTGTTGTAAACCTTAGTTAACGTATGGGAGTTACGATCACCTTAGCACTAACGTGCCTGGGTCCGTTTGCACGAAGCGATCTTAGTGCTAAATTTAAGTCATCGTAACGCCCTTGCGTTAACATAGACTCACGACTGTCGCGCTGAGATCGTGTGCAGTTGGAGTGAGTGAGTTTAGTTTTACGCCGCACTCAGCAATATTCCAGCTATATGGCGGCGGACTGTAAATGATCGACCAGACAATCCAGTGATCAACAGCATGAGCATCGATCTGCGCAACTGGGATACGATGACATGTGTCAAACCAAGTCAGCGAGCCTGACCACCCGATCCCGTTAGTCGCCTCTTACGACAAGCATGGGTTACTGAAGGCCAATATTCTAACCCGGACCTTCACGGGTCTTGTGCAGTCGGTTACAAAAAGCGGTCTTAACGCAGTGACTGTTGCAAGTCTATATCCGCCCAAGTATTGCAGTAACGATCATCGTAAAGATGGAGTCCACGTCCACTGCTCTTGGCCTTCTTTCACGTGGTAACACTTTGCTGAAATCTATATCAACTATTGGCCATGTTAGTATGTCCAGACAGATACAGATTCTGATGTTCGGTGATTTAGTGCATATAAAATATACATAGATGTCTGGAACTGATATGTACATGACATTCGATTCATTCATTTCAATAAACATCAGCTTCTGTCCTTTTACGGTTTAAGGGGACGGTGGATTAGCCTAGTGGTTAAAGTGTTCACTCGTCACGCCGAACACCGTGCGAATCCAATGTCTGATGTCCTCATCTTGAAATGACTGGACTGTGAATTACCACCCATACATTCTTAAGTTTCTGTCGTGTAAGAAAAGTAGAACTAGGTGCTAAATTTTCGGCCACGAACGCATGTAGCATTAAAATTATAAACAAAATTTATCCATCGTTGAATATTGCACACTAGCGTCAGCAGATTAATGTTGTCATATCGCAGAAAATCTATAAGACTAAAATATCTATTTTCTCCCGATTTCGCACTTGTACGATATGTTTGCATATCTGGTTAGTACTTAAATATAACATCCGCACAAAAACGACTGCTAATACATCTCATATGATGCGTCTCCTGACGAAAATAACACCACCACCCCCTCTCCAAATATTAAGCTAATGTCTAATCTATGACATATCTACGAGTCTATGCTCACAGATGACACCAGATTCAAATAGTTTTCCTTTAATACTTCAAATTACCTAAAGTGTATAAGAAATGAGCCCAATCACAACAGGGGTGCTATATCGGATTTCTAATCAGCTCTGTTTGTGAATTATGTTGTAAACAATAACATGTTTGAACAGCCATCTGATATCATCCTTAACGTCTCTCTGGTTTAACGCGCCAAAGCAACGCCACTTTTTGGGTACAGTTGGAACCGTCCCAAGCAGTTTCTCGCCGTTCACCTAACATGCTGCAATTACCATAACCCAGGTAGAAAAAGTATTCTCAGTATATATTTTGGGAAGGAAACAAATTACACCTCGTCCATACATCCATTTTGTTCATCCCCGGACCGTTAATTGCCATTGCAAGACTCGCCAGCGACTGAAGAGGAAAAGCTCTCAGAAGGGTTTCATTTTTCGAGCTATTGAGTAGAGATATAATTTAGTTGAATTACAAAATTAATCAGCTCCTTTACGATGTTGGGATCATGGAGGCTTTCGACTGGTAAGTTTGTTGAAAATAACGAGCTTTAAACGTTTCCGGATTACACATAATAAGCTAATAGTTAGTAAGTTAAGTGTTTCTGCATGTTAACATTGTGCATGTATAATCGTTATTGCCTTTCTTTCAGACAGAATGGTGTGTTCGTGAGATGTGTTCATAACACATAAGAATACTACAGCATGAGGATATTTGTTTTCCACAAGGTGCTGGCTTGTCACCAGATGACCGGTCCTTGTGTTTCATATGAAACCTTAAAGTAACATTAAGCCCACAAGTTCATCTTAATTTATATCCTAATTTCTGGGTTTTCTATATGACAAGGCAGAGCATTCTTGATAATCTCCAGGGTATACGTTCCGACCGCGATAAATCTCCACTAGTATAGATTTATCGGAACGTATACCCTGGAGATTTTCGAGGATGAAGGCAGAGTTGGTCATGTGTTTTAGGGACAAAATGCATTGCCTTGAATGCATTACAGGTAGTGCACAGTGGTTATGGTGTTTGGTTGTCATCTATCTATTGTGTCTATCTAATGGCATCTACATTAGTAACAATACTATAATGAACGTCTCAGTCAAACAATACGGTAATATGGACCGTTAGAACAGGCAGCATGGGCACGTCAACCTGACGGTGCACCAGAACGCAGCGCACCACATGTATGTAAACATGTCTTTGCCCTGAGTTCACTGGTATTGCGCATCTGCAACATGCTGGAAGGTTTATTGAATATATGAACATATCACCTTCACCGATGGCGCAGGGAGTTTCTTAAGTCTCCAAAATAGAATTCAAGCACGGATGAATCCAAGAAAAGCTATTATATGTATTTACCTTCATGTTAAATTCTAAGCAATACGATCGAGAGTAACAACCTTCGAATGGTGCTACCATGTCACATGGCCATAATGTGTTTTATGAGTAATTATTACACGCTCAAACTGTCACCATTAGTGTAGCAGGACGTGGAGTCATCCCATAGATGACATCCTTTCCATATCACCTATCTGGTCATATGGACAAGGCGTTGGACTTCGGATCAGAAGGTCCGTGGTTCGAATCCCAAACAAATGTGTCAGACACTAGGTAGTATTACAATTCCCACTGTTTCATCGTCGTTCTTATTAGAACCTTAGTTTAAGATGTGTTCACACGTACCACCACCATGAGGCACCTCTGGGAGTCTCCTGTCGCAGTACTAGTGTTATGGACCCGTGAAGATCCGGGATAGAATAGGTCTTCAGCAACCCAGGTGCTTGCCATAAAAGGCGACTATGCTTGTCGTAAGAGGCGACTAACGGGATCGGGTGGTCAGTTTCACTGACCTGGTTGACACATGTCATCGGTTCCCGATTGCGCAGATCGATGCTCATGCTGTTGATCACTGTATTATCTGGTACAGACTCGATTATTTACAGACCGCCGCCATATAGCTGGGATATTGCGGAGTGCGGCGTAAAACTAAACTCACTCACTCACTCACTCACTAGTGTTATGAGTGTTTGTCCTCTACTTCCAGCCGTCCTATGACAGAGGGTACGGCAGCGGTCTGAACAGCAGCCCCAAGACTTATGGCGGGGTAAGTAAACTTACACTCTCTCACACGTGGTGCCTTGTATTAGTTTGTGTCTTCAATACTTTATATGTGTTTAAAGCTCACTACGATACATGAACTATCTACGCGTCACTTTAAGACCGTATTCTACAAGGAAATCACAACTGCCTGAGACTGGGGATGTATATTTCCCAGGGAGCTGAGAATGGAAATTGAATGAAACACGATTTGTTGACCGGGGGGATGATTGTACGCGCTGTCAGCGTGCGTTGTATGGAGTGTTCGATATTTTAATGTACGTGATACAATTACTGAAAATTACGGGAAAACATTCTGTAAACATGAGCAACTTGCAAAGAACTGGCAATTCTTATGCATACCACCGCCAATAGAATTGTCGACTACATACAAGTTACATACAAGTTTGAACAGTACTGGCTGCATCGTGACGCAACACAGATCACCGTTGTCACTGCTGTTAATACTGGAGGTAGACTGACTGACTGACTTTGGTTTTACGCCGCTTTTAGCAATATTCCAGCAACATCACGGCGGGGGACACCAGAAATGGGCTTCACACATTGTTCCCATGTGGGGATTCGAACCCGGGTTTTCGGCGTGACGAGCCAACGCTTTAACCACTAGGCTACCCCACCGCCCCTGGAGGTAGACACTATACAGTCGTTGACGCTAGTGTCCCCAATGTTCAGAAGACTCCGTGGAGACAAGAACCTGCTGAACTAGATATAGTTAAACATTTGTGTTTCATAGACAGTTAAACGAAACCTCTGACTGACTGTGCTTCCTGGTCGGCGCCAGTACCCGACTTTAGGTCCAGATTCCGTTTCAAAAACAGGTTATAGCTGCGTCATAAATAACTTGAGTGCTTGCCATATACTGAGATAATCGAAGAGTTAACATCGCCTTGAGGAACAGCACAGGAACGCTGGGACCAAATTAAGATTTTATCTCAGGCGGGCGTACCACATAGGGGAAATAACGTCCTGTAGAATTAGTATTTTCTGTAACTGCTGAAATCGGATAGCTTCTCCGTCACCAGTCATGTTTTTGACGTATCTTCAATGAAAGCTTACATCGTGTTGGGTTTTCTCTTTGCTTATCATTTCTCAGTAATGGTACCTTAAGTCGCAGAATTCCGATTTGATGTTTCAAAGTTGGAAATGCCATTTTGCCCGGCATTTTCTGAGTGCATCAGTAACTTGCAGTTTAATGTGTTGTAAGTATGGGTAGTTACGTGACCATCACACCCCAGCGATCTGTATTCTGGATAACATACACGTTTCAAAATAAAGATTTTGGGGAAAAAACCCCGTCATGACGCTAGGTACAGTCCTTGATGTGCCAGGGCGGTTGGGTAGATTGGCGGCTAACACGTTCGCCGAAGGCTCGGGTTCGATTCCTCACATGGGTGCAATGTGTGAAGCCCATTTCTGGTGTTCCCCGCCGTGATATTGCTGGAATAGTGCTAAAACGGCGTAAAAGATATTGTAATGCTAACTAAAGGTGCACATATTTTTAAAACCACAGCGCGTGAAGTACAATGATATGTGTCACCATTTACTCTTCGAGTCATCGACTTAACAAATGTTTTCTGGCCACATGTGCATTTCATGTAAAATCTTCGATCGTGAGCTAATCACAGAGATGTGCTTACGCGGGACATTGTGCAAGGAGCGATGTGTACATGGGTTCATGCCTGATAGGAAGCTCTTTGCGCTTAGCTTGGGGCGGTGGGGTAGCCTAGTGGTTAAGGCGTTCGCTCGTCATGCCGAACACCCGGGTTCGATTCCCCACATGGGTACAATGTGTTAAGCCCATTTTGGTGTTCCCCGCCGTGATATTGCTGGAATATTGCTAAAAGCGGCGTAAAACCAAACTCACTCACTCACTCTTTGCGCTTGGGTTGGTTGGTTGGTTTGTTGTTCAACGCCGCAGTGGGCATATTTCAGCTATAGCGGCGGTCTGTAAATAATCGAATCTGGACCAGACAACTGTGCGCTTGGGTGTCATTGTGCCTTGAGGACGTCTGTTGGATATTATATCTAGCTGGACACGTCCCTTTCCCGCAATATTTCAACTATATGGTGGCGATCTGTAAATAATCGGGTCTGGACCAGGCAACTTTGCTCTTGGGTGTCTGTACCTTGTTAATTTCTATTGGATATTATATCCAGCTGAAGACGTCCCTTTCCCGCAATTCTGAAGTAGAGAGATACCTTACAGTATGTCAAGTGTGAATAGCATGACGTCAAATGTGATATGGCTGTGAAGTCCAGACCCGTTCGTGAACACCTGGTGTCATCAGTGATTTTCAGCCATCCATTCATGTAATTTGCATCACAATGTTACCTTTACGCCCGAAGCTGTTTCGTCAGATCATTCTCTGGCGTCTACGTTAGGTACTCAGTTAATCCTTCCTGAATTCAAGATTCAGACATAAGTTTACAAGCCTATTCGCTTGCTGTGCACTGAAACACAGTCCATCTGTTTTATCCGCTACGACTTTTTATATCGTTGTTATGTACAAACTTCTACTTTGTATATATTTAGTTCAACATGCTCAAACATTTCCATGCAGACGAATTCAGAATATGCACGTGCGCGTTAGACTAAACAGCGCTGTTTTCTTGAGTGAATTTACACAAGCATTACGCGCCTTATAACAGTACAGATATATGTCTGAAACCCATTAATCCGAACCCTGTTGTAACAAAACCCGTTAATCCGAACCCGGTGGCAACAAAACCAGTTAATCCGAGCCCGGTTGTAACGAAACCCATTAATCCGAACCCTGCTATAACGAAAACCATTAATCCGAACCATGTTGTAATAAAACATATTAATCCGAACGCTGTTGTAACGAAAACCATTTATCCGAACCCTGATGTAACAAAGCCCATTAAACCGAACCCTGTTGTAACAGAACCCATTAAACCGAAACCTGCTATAACGAAAACCATTTATCCGAACCCTGTTGTAACGAAACCCATTAATCCGAACCCTGTTATTACGAAAACTTTTAAATCGACCCTGTTGTTCTGGAAACCCGCTTTCCGGACGCTGAATAATCGGAAGGTCTGTATATATGGAATTCACCGTTTTGTGCATCCCTACCATTTCGTTGGAACGGTACCGGATTGAGGATTAGAAGGTACTCCAAGAATACACTTGAGTGATGTTAGCGTGTCTGGTGAAATCTACTTCATATGTTATAGAGATACAGCTAGCGTATAACAAATAATCATGTAACACAATTTGACCCTTGTCAGTAAGAACCATATATCTGCGGATCGTACCGCAGAACCATTCCTGGGTGGTTATTCCTGGTTTTCCTTACTCTCATTCAGACATGTACCTTGTTGAGTCGAACACATCCATCACATTCTTCTGCGAACGTTACACCAACGGCGTCACGCAGAGCGATCGAGGTCAACACATAAAGCAACTCGTGACGCAGATAGAGCCATCCATTTCGGTCTGTCTTATTTACTGCCTACTGCATTTTAGCCGTGGTACCTGGTGGGGTAAAAGTCACATACCCTCTAGTTGGACCGTAACTGTGGAGTATAATTGTGTTATATGATTCATACAGCTCACCATAACATTTCCTGTACGTTAGGAGTGAGTGAGTTTAGTTTTACGGCGCACTCAGCAATATTCCAGCTATGTGGCGGAGGTCTGTAAATAATCGAGTCTGGACCAGACAATCCAGTGATTAACAGCATGAGTATCGATCTACGCAAATGGGTTACGATGACGTGTCAACCAGGTCAACGAGCCTGACCACCCGATCCCGTCAGTCGCCTCTTACGAAGCAACTTTTACTGAAGACCAATTCTAACCCGGCTCTTCACTGGTTCTATGTTAAGAAGTAATAAGCGTAATACGTTGTTTGAAATGATATTGTTTTTAGGATCGCTTCTTTTACCTAATATATTTTTGGTCAAGACAAACACTTAAACGTTCAACATCAAGGATTTCAGTTTCAGTTTATTGGCAGGCGTTCATAGTTTGCTTGGAAGTTTTTTTCAAGACAAACAGTAGATTTAAATACTGAGGCTATGTTGATTGGCACATCGCAACGTCTGAAAAGGATAAACTCTACGGACATCACAGTAGCCAACTCAGATATCCCACTTTCATCCAGTGTAAAAAACCTAGGTGTTTATCTTGATCCTTGCCTCACCATGGAGCAACATGTGAACCATCTCTGTAGAGTAGGCTACTTCCATCTCCACTCTGTTGGTAACATCCGCCATCTTGTAACCACAGATGCTGCTAAAGTTCTCACTCAGTCACTTGTTCTCTCCAGGATTGACTATTGCAATAGCCTACTGTTTGGAATCTCCAATGATCTTCTCTTCAGACTTCAAAAACTTCAAAATGCTGCCGCTAGAGTTGTCACTAAAACATCCAAATGGACTCACATAACCCCAATCCTCCAGAGTCTGCATTGGCTGCCGGTTGAAGCCAGAATTCATTTCAAGATCTGCACTCTTGTTTTCCGCTGCAAACACGGCCTAGCTCCTCCATACCTCTCTGAGATGTTGTCAACATATATGCCTGCCCGTTCTCTCCGCTCCCAGAATCAACATCTTCTCTCAGTTCCCCAAGTTCGTCTCAAACACTTTGGCCATAGGTCATTCAAATTTGCAGCACCAACCCTATGGAACAGTCTTCCTACTCCCATAAAAAATGCTTCATCCTTAGAAGCATTCAAATCGGGACTCAAAACCTTCCACTTAAAAAAAGTCTACAACCTATAACTGCGAAATATTCTCATGGTCATTTTGACGAATTGTCATATCTTCCTGTTGAACTCTAGTGACTCTTTTTATATGTAGCGCTTTGAGCATGCTCTGGATGGACTATGGCGCATAAGAAATATCCATTTATTATTATTATTATTATTATTATTATTAAACTCCAGGGAATAATCAAGGAATAATCAGGCCAAAGCAGATCCTACTAGGCGTGAAAAGCAAAATAGCAGTGGAAACTGT